CCCCCCCCCCCCCCAGCCCCCAACAAAGTCGGTTGTCGCAAATGTCGTTATTGAATTTGCCAGGAAATGAGCTTTCTGCCCATGTGTATTTTTGCCACGTGGAAATGCATCCACTTTGGCGTCAAATTCATCTCTAGGATTACTTTCAAATTACACAACAATAAAAGTCATAAAGAGAACGGGCCCCATTGTTTTGGATTGGTATGCCATTGATATTTGGCATGGAGATATCACCTTTTTACAATTGTGCGAAAGGCTGGCGGCGGCCGAAAAATTTCTGTGACATTCTGTACAAAGCAGCACATTACTACCAGGTTTTCTGTAGCGAAAAAAGGGTCGACAAGGGCGTTGAGGTATTTGGTGGGCTGAAGATCGGACAGGCCACCTGACAGTTTGGCTGCTTCGTGTGAGTTGAAGTAGACAAAATGGCATCGTCCGAAATTACCTTTAATAGATTTGGTAGTATTAAGCATATCTTTGCATCATTTTTAAACATTTCTGTAAAGTGTTGAAAATGCTTTAATATTCTGAGAAAACAAATAGAGACACACTGTTTGATTGATATTTGTTTTATTGATTGCTATACCAACTGAATGCATGAAATAACCTTAAATAGATTTGGTAATATGAAGTATACAGGTATCTATTCATGACTTTTTTTTTACATTTCTACGAAGTATTCACAATGCTTTAATATTTTAGAGCATGGATAAAGACATATTGTTAGTTTGATACGTGTTTCTGTGGTAAGATTTGTGTTTCCAGCTGAGTACTGACAGCATTCCTTTACTTAAGCAGCACTTTTTTTTTTTTGGACTGTTTTTTTTTTTTTTTCGCCCTCGCGCACCGATTTTGGGGTACCCAGGGGATGTCATCCATAAAAATAAAAAAGTGTGGCCTAAGACTCATCATCTTAAAAATATGATGACTTATAGAAAATGTTTTTTTTAGCTACAGTGGTTCAAGTTTAACGAGTTACACCAAGAAGTAAGATGAACATTTTGCATAATATAGTGGCTGAGAAGACTGCGAAGACGTACATTTGTACCGTTGTCTCAGATTTCTTTCCGCTGCTACTGGTATTTGCCGGAATCGTTGGTCGAGAACTCGCGAAAAGGGGATGAACTGATCGAAAAGTCGATGGTTGGGAGTAGCAGGAAAAAAAGGCAAGCTGTTTACATTTTTTTGAACGAGACGGCTATAGTAGAGCCCAAGAGCGTCAGTAACCAAAAAAAAAAAAAAAAAAAAAAAAAAAAATCATCCATCACGTTGGCACAGTAAAAACACTGTATGAACATCTAAGAAATCTCAAGAAAACTTTTACAAGAAATCATGCAGCCTATAATTTGTCTTAAATAGCGACTGATAAGGGCCGTAGAGACCCTAGAACTCTAAAGTGATACCTGTTTCTTATACCCACTCAATGGAAAAACTTAAAAACGTAATTTTGTGAGCCACTTACTTTTTATAGATGGAACAAACATTATATATATACATATTTTTTTAATTCCCAAAAGTGGCGAAATCCGCAAGACAATTTAGACCTTTCAGAGAGGATAGTAAAGCTCATTTTGAACGAATTCTCTGATGTATTTGAAAACCTATAGGTGTGTTGAAAAAGGCTTCGTTTAAAGAGGTGGTAGGTCAGATGTTTCTGGGATCTGTATTTCTTTACATGCAAATGATTAAGACGTTTGATACTCGGATCGTGTTTGTGTAATAGGTTATCACTTTTGATATCTGAGTTACTTTTAAACACCTCAATAAATTCTACGAAAAAAAGTTTAAAAATATCTTATCAATATTTATTAAACTCGTGTCCCGTATCTTTTCTATGGCTGTGGAACATACGTTACATTACGGTATGCGTAGGATGCGAGGCGTAGTTGGTATTGTAACTAATACACCCAAAATTTGAAACTGTCAATGAATTTTAAATTCACGACGAATATGACCAGTGGTAGATAACTTTTAGGTAACAAAGTTTTCAATTATCTATACAATTGACAATTACTGCTATTGAAAGAGTCATCAACGTGGACCTTGTAAAGAAAAATGATCTTTAGTTTGAAAGTAATTTTCCTAGATCTGGTCAATTTAAAGGTATTTTCCTATCACTTTTCCATTATTAATGACTCATAGGGTTCTGATAGTGTTTAGCTTGCACAAATTTCCACAGCGCTCAACTAATGATCGTGTTTGTATCAGGCGATTCAGTGGTAACGTATGTTCTTTCTTACGCTTTTTTCACTTCAAACGGCTATCAATTTACTTGCTTACAAAACAGAAATGCGTGGGCGTAAAATTGGGACATTTGTGGATTTTTGTTCTATACACATGTAAGTTTTAAAAAATTGGATAATACATCGAATTCATTCAATTTCATTTTTTGAGACTAGAACTTGTGAAATGCACCTCTATATTGGGTTTGGGTGTGTAGCCTCTATGTGATATCGCTCTTCGCAATAGGCGATGCTTTCGAGTTACGGGACCCAGGTGTCTAACCTGGAAGGGATGTGGCTTGAGGCAAAAGAAAAAGGATCTAAAGAGATACTCTGTATGTGTGCATAACTTAGCATTATTGGCACAAATTATGGTAATAAATACAAAAATAAAATGTTTCATAACATTTGAAATTCTTCTTGTGCGCACTACAGAGAGAACTGAGAAACTTGTAATCCACACACTTACTACATTTGTACTAGACAATGAAAACGTCTTTCTAAGCCTTCAATATTACCTTCACAGCTTTGTATGCCAAGTCTGAAGGCAGGTGCTCCGGTCCAGTTCACAGCTATGATGCGGAGATGTCTTGTCAACACAATGGTAGGTAGTCTGTTTATAACCTTGGTCTCCGCATCAGTATTGCCTTCAAACTCAATCTGAAATAAAAAATCCTCATGTTATCTAAGACACGTGAGCACAATATGGACTTCGATTTAAGCTAATTGAAAATTATCATAATACGTTCATTTTATATACACATGTATTAAAAGTATCAATGTATAGAAACTGGCAAAGTGTAAAACCAAGACTTTAAAAGTGAAGTGACAGAAATCCTTTTACAACCTTAATAACAACTCGATGTCTCTAATGGGCTGATAGAAAGAATATTGATAAATCTTATACATACCTCTGTCCCATTGTTATCGGTCACTTTTTCCCAAACAATTCCATCTTCGCTATGCTCAAGCGTGTAGCTGGTCAACCAGTTTGTCGTGCCCCGCTCCCCCTGAGTAACCAAAGCACGAATTGCACTACGAGCTCGAAGATTTATCTGGAAATGAAATACTTTCTCATTTAGAATTCCTCGTACATGAGTATAAACCATGCTGCGGATGGAACAGAAATTATATATAGCAACAATCAGTTGAGGACCAAGCACTGACCTATGTCGGGTCCTAAAGGTCCACTTAACAAACAGTGCATTCAAATTTCCGTTCATTTGGGTATGTTTCTTTATAACCAATAAACTTTAATTCTTACACCCCATCTCGTTCTAACAACTCAGCGATCATCTACTGTATCTGATGATCTCTGATGGAGAATGCGTGCAATTACCGATTTTCTCTTATTACAGTAATAGTTTGCCAAATAATGTAACAGACCAATGTCTAGAATCATATTTGACTCTTTCTTATTCATATTTGTCTTCGAACCTGCATTTCGGGGACGGAAGTCATGGCCAGGAGAAAGGCGTGGTCCGTGTCCAATAGACCCATGGTCACTCCGCCAGATGTATTGAGTCCATCAATTTGTTCTTTTTCTACCGTTAACATCATATCATCGACGCAGTAGTCCTCTGAAAATCAAAACATAACACATTTTTATTGATTAAATTTCGTCCAAAACAGTAGTAATATCTAGCGTTTATGTCTGACATTTTTTTCTAAAGAGATTCTCTATCTACTCGCAGACGCTTTGATATTGATAATTTCTTAAATGTTTATGCATTTTCAATATCCGGAAAAGTTCACCCTCACATATTTAATATAATAAATCACAATAAGATTATTCTCTGAAACCAATACTTATATAAAATCAAAGATGAACTGAGATAAAAATTAAAATAAAAATGCAACCTACTGTTTAAATTAAGTAGAACGACGTTGGGGTCTTGTCTCATGGCGCTGGGCTCATCATAAAGATTAAGTGAGTTCATGAGACAACTGTCAGAGGACGAGGTCCACTCGATTGAAGAACAATTCTGCAGTAAACACTGCCTGGCACAGTCGTCCATGGTAGCTGAAATGACGGTTCAAAGTAGAAAATACATGTATATGACCAAGTATATTACAGAGGTACAATATTCGATGCTGAGTATCTTACCTCGCCTTGACTCGATTTACGTTCAAATTGATATTCGCCTTTCGGGGAAGCAATTTGTTCTGACTATATAGTCTGTGTCTGATAAAATGGTTTGCTTACTTTCGCCGTCTCCGTCAGTCCATTCTGTTTTATTTGTAGCCACTAATGTGGTTCCAGGGACAGCGTGGAAAAACCAACTTGGTTCTGAAATGTATAGGTGTAAACCAAGTTATCAATGCTTCGTTTTACTTATTCACTGATTTTTGTCCCATCGCTGCAATTACTGGTGCTGCGTTCTTTCACATAACGTTTCTGTTTTATTGAGGCACTTTTTTGTTGAATTCATTTTTGTAAACCTTATGCACGTTAGTTGTTGTCATCCTGTTAACGCATGTTGTAGAAGAACTTGAACGAGGGCATTAAAATATATCATATATCATCACACCCACGCTGCAAAAAAAAATAAAAAATAAAAAAAAAAAATAATAATAAACGGCTATGAAAAACTTACCTATGGTCGCATCGTAACTGCTTTCTGTTAGTGACTGTGTGCTTGCATTGCACCGTTCTGAGAAGAGGCGACACAAGCTGTTATCGTGCGAGTGCTCCAAAGTAATACAATACGGTGTTTCATCACACACATCCATGCACTCCTCCGCGGTAATGTTACCCGTAATATTCTTTAGTATTTGGCCCGCACACTGCCGGTTTTCGATGCGCCTGTACCTGCGACCTATACATTAGTGTTTAATGACCACAAAGAAACAATTGCCAATGATCTCTTGAGAATGCATTAAATAGTTTTACAAATATTAATTGAGCGAAATTAACGTGCTAGTGAAAATCATGCAGTATAGTACATGTATTTAGCATTCGGCAATAAGGGTAGGAGATAAATGCGAACGTGCTGAAATTATAGACAATCTTTGGGACTAGTCAGTTATTTATGTGACAGGTAGCAACCTTATCTTCTTTTAGAGTACTAATTATCCAAGAATGGGACAAGTTGCTCGTATTGTCATGACTGTTTCATTGACTATAACGGCTATATAAGGATATTTCCTTGATACTCACCCACGTTATCTACGGATATAGTGGTCCCGTTTCCAATATCTATGACGCAATTAACCTGTGACCCTAGAGTAAAGATAAAGTAGATGTGTCACCTTCATAATAGATTTAAAATTAGAATAATGCAGACAATTCTTTTATTCTGTGCTTAGGATACGTTTCAACATCAACCATAAAAATATACACGATTCTTCTTGTATAAAGTAACTAGTCGATGGATTTATTTACCCTTCTTTGTGAAAATTTATTTTAGTATTCTAACGAATGAAATGAATTTTTCATTTTCTACAAAATGAAAAAACCTGACATATTGTCCATTTACCTTGAGCCAAAGTGATATCGAATGACGTCACATCACCCAGAATAGAGGCTGGCGGATATGTCATTGAAATATGGGCACTCTCGATTCGATCAATGATGTTGACAGTTTTCTAATCAATAGAGCAAAGCAAACAGTGATGTGATCTAAACGGTTACTTCAATGGTTCAATATCTATTCTTATCTAAGGGTATATTTGTAGAATAAATTGGTGTTCCGGAAAGGAAACGCAAACTAATTGATTTTAAGTACAGCGATCTTTACTCGTTTCCTGATCGGCAGAAAAACGCCAAACAGAGCTTGGATATGAACGTTACAATAGAAACAATTTGATGCTCGCAATTAATAGACGCCGTTATTATTTAAGCTTGAAAACGAATCAAGAAAAGCTTACGTTGATGGTGACTGAATTCAACCCGTTGTATGCAGACAGAACGACAATCAATTCTCCTGTCTCGCGATAGACGTGCGTGATATTCCTCTCCTGAGTTATATCAAAATAGCCGTCTCCCCAGTCGATAACGTAGGTACTATTAGTCCCTGGGTGTTCAGGAACTATAACGTCAAATGCCCTATTTGCCTCACCTGGAATAAAATACCATAAGTGCATAAAATATATAAAATATTGTTATCGGGTAATAATGCTACCGTTTTATGGTGTAACTGTGAAAATCCTGCAACTCTCTTTATTATTTAATTATCATAATGTATTTAAATCAAGACGACAAAAACAAAGCCAGGACATGAATTAAGATAAGTACAAATCGTGCTCATTTTTTTCTGTTTTAGTGGCAGTAAAACGTCCGTACCATAATCAGAGATAATCCAAGTTACGTTTGCCACTCTGTACTGGACATGTATGATGCTGGACATGGAAACCGTTCCAGTTACTTCACTGGATACCGTTGCCGTGACGTTGTATCCATCTGGTGTATCATAAACAGTTGGTGCGCGGATTGTCACTGGTCTGATCACCAAAGCTTCGACGAGAAAATGCGTACGACTAGACGTCACATCGGTGGCCGCGACGACCTCGTTTTCTGGTGCGCTCTGCTTGAACACAGGGATATCTGCCGTTGGAATGGTTCCGATTTTCCCTTCATTTGCCATTTGGTAAACCGACAACACATCGCCCTGAATTACTTGGAATCGGGAGTCGCTGGGGAACATGTAGACTGTCTGATTTTCGGTCAGGTTGACCGTCTGGTTGTATACGGCCTGATATGTGACCGGCAGTTCATAGAACCTGGAACCGTTCACACTACCGCTACTGCTGGAGAAACCAGAGCAGCTCCGATCGGAGAAGCTGTACTTGAGGCTACCCACGCAGCGGTAGGTCCTCATCACCGCGCCCTGTTTCCGGCAGTTGTCTGTGGAGTTGATACAGGAGTGGGACCGGTAGCAGAATGTTTGGTCGGGGTCGTCACACACTGGGCGAAAAACCTTTTGAAACAATGTTTTGGACGTTATTGTTGTTATACAGTTGCCAGTTTGCTATGTGGCTAAAACACATAGAAGGTATCAAATAAAGGGCAGTTTATACATATGGGTTTTGTGTATTTTTACATGTAAATCTTCCCGCTGAAATAGCTTAATCTATTTCCACTGACTGTACATTACTTATTATATCACTATGCCGATACAGAAGTGACAATACAACCAACGCTTGGAGCGGCTGAACGATCATTACGCCTTAAAGCCATTTTATGCACAGTGCATGGTTTTATTGTTATATATGAATAGGCGGATGAAAAAAACCCCATTAAGCTTTGAGTTACTGACAATTAATATGCCACCACTTCATAAAAATCGGTTTATACTATCGGGCGCGAGTGTCCGTATACATCATATAGAGAATGCAACGTACCTGAAAGGTCACCGGACCAACTTCCTTGACATTGACCTTGAGACCTACCAACGAACCGTTGCTATGGAAACCATGGTTCACGAGCATGTAATTGCCATCTGGTGCAGATTCAGTATACAAATCTCCAGGGTTTGCGTCTCCAGCTTTATACCAAGCAGCGTCTGAAAAGATTAAAGGGCAAAGATTTAACTCTGGCTTAATTGCATCATTATATCAAAGCAGGCAACAGCTACTCGTTTCTTAAAAAACCTGATGTTCAACACTATCAACATCTGATGTGCCCGAGACATGACTTAAATAAGGTGAAAATTATCAGTAAAATTTTACCTCAAGCTGTCCTGACACCAGATATATTATGGTATACTTGTATACCTTTGAGAATGTATTCATAACCTCCCTGAGAGGTATGTACTTTACAGTTAAAACCATTGTAGATCAGCTGAAGATTGTCACACTACGTGTCAATAAAAGCTAGCGGCATAAATATAAATCTGATTGACTGAAATTTAGGATTCAAAGGGTCTCACTACAACAATGAAATTAGAAAATGCAATGGGGGTATGAAAAAAATCTTCATTAGTCTGTACAAAATTTCCAGGACCCGAAAGTGATGCAGTTTCTCTATCGTTCCTGTCACCATCGGAGGCGAGTCGCTGTTGGTAATATCGCAATTTTCATAGAAAGAGTTTTATTATGGATAAACACGGCGCGGGGCAGAAAAGAAAAACACCAAGAACATTTAGATTAAATTTCTATAGACCCGTCCATAGGACGAGTAAGCTCTTTGTAAAAAGCTAAATATTTTAACAAAGATATGTGTTTAGTGTAACAGGAATAAAATAATAAAATGAAAAAAATATTTTGAAAGTCGTTGACGATTTTCATCAGCATTTTAAGAGCTTTTAATGTTAAATATGCTGTTGGAATTGACCTATACCCATTTTCAGGGTGAAGATCATGGCATTTTTATTTCGCAATCTATTGATTTTTGCAGGAAATTTGACGCCAAGTTGTCTACACCTTCATATAGTATTTTGTTTGAAATTTTCACTTGATGTTTTATTACTTCAAAATCAACATAGCTAGATTAAAACACATAAACAGAGAGAGAAAAAAAAAACAACTCATTTACGGAATTGCCTTTAGGAGTATTATTGATTAGATCATTTTAAAAATAATGACGCCTCTCGTTGGAAGTTTCCATTAACCATAATGGAAACTCGTGTTAATTCTCTAAATGCAAACTGGTTCTTTGTTAATTTTGCATGGGTGCTAAAAAAATCAACCCGCTGACAAGACATGGCGTAACAATCAAACTCAGATTGTGACTCGTTCTGCCACTTTTGCTTTATCAATTTCCTCCGGGTTCGTTTTTATTTTTAAATGAGAGGCCTAAACACATTGTTTGATTTGTGTGTCTCATGCATTTTACAAAAAAATGATAAAACGACAGTGCATAGGCAGATACAGAGAGGTTAAGTAAACAAACACACACACGCGCATATACACGTTGTCCGAATGAAATACTAGTAACGATTAAAATAACATAAGTGGGTGGTGTACAGTGACCGATGTATTAAAATATATAATAACATGGCAGTTCACCAGAAATGACAGCCTTGTGGCAAGTTATGTTTTTGATCAAAAACTAACACTTGCATTTTAAAGTAATTATTAAGAGTAACATGTATCATACCTGGGGGATTGAATTCAGTTTGTTTTCCGTTGCCAAATGTAACGGAGGCAGTCATGTTTGTTCCTTGAAGGACTCTGATCTTACAGACGGCTTCTTCATCCACGGCCACGTACAGCGGGCAGTGAAACTGGAATTGTATGTCCGCATCAGCGGAACGGACAACGGTGCTTCTTGCCGAATTACCATAGGTATCCGTGGCTTTAACACTCACAGAAAATTTACCTTGAAAAAAAGGGAGAATAAGACACTAGTGCTTCAGGATTCCCCAGCGGAGTGATTTGACACAATCAATACTTGTACTTTTATTATTATCTTCTTAATTTCCTACAAAGTACACCTAAGTTAAATGTTCTGCATATATTACGACTCCCAGCATTTTAAAACGTTATAAGACACTAGATTTTGACTTCCCTCACCTGGTGTAAATACAGCAAAAGTATGATTGACAACAGCTGTATTGGTGCCTAGGTAATAACTTGCAGTGGGCCAAGTGTCGTGTTTTCCTGCACTCACTATGTCAATGTTCAAGTGAGCTGTCTCGGTTTGCACAAGGACGCTGACGGGCTTATACATTTCGACAAAAGTCTTATTTTCTGAAATAAGGCAAAACTAAACGTGAAAATAAAATTAACTAGGAAAAAGATTCTGTAGTTTCTGAATTGAAACATCTGAGTGGACGGTTACTAATGTGAAAACGAGCATTTGATTGTTCGCACTTTAAATTGCTACGAAACGCTGAAGTTCAATGGACTGTTTTTGAAGTAAAACATGTATGTTTTAAATGTCAAAATCGGTAAATGTGTGAACATTTTGAAAGAAAGCTATGGAAGTTTTCACAATATCCTACCACATTTGCCTCTTTACACAAATATCCAATTTATTTATCTTGTAGACTATGTTGGGGTGCCAAAGCATTTACTTGGCCATGTTCCCGGGTGAGTGAAGGTGGGGGAGGGTTCAGGCACAGCCTTTGGTCTGGTCCCATGAGTGCGTTTGAAACGTTTGCATTCTAACGACTCATTTTGTAGCCCTGCAGGTGTTCATGTCTAATCTTCCCTGTATTTCAGTATTTTCACAATAATATAGACACTTTTAAATGTTGAAAAAATAGTTTGTTGGAAAATTTTGGAAGAAATGTTTAAATTTTTAACCCGCCTCCCCCCCAGATCCATTAGGAAACAAGCTTTAAATGGCAAATCAATAAAATATGATAGCAATGTCACAAAGAACAAATGTTCTATTGATTATAAAACATTTAAGTACATTTTGGTTTGAACATGACATGACGAGTACCGTAACATCATTAGAACCATTGAAATGTATGTCATTGTCAGATAATAATCTGCTCTCTCAAAGAATTGATTGCTTACATCCATTTTAGTGTGTACTTTGTTATTCATTTGTGACATTCACAGTTGAATTCCGCAACCATAGATCGAGATAAGCAAATATGCTAATGGCAGAAGCAATTATATAATTTGCCCTTCTGAAAAGATTTTAAGTGGTGTTGTGGAATGGTATTGGGCCTCATTAAGGCAAGCAATAAAATTTCAGAATTGCTGGTAGGAAGTATGTACTTAGCAGATTGCAATGAGAAAAAGATTGCATGAACGTGTGTTAAGGTGTACTTCATGGTATATTACCAATCCTTGGGATAGATGCTCTGATTTTACTGTCAAATCGACTTCATAGGATGAAATGCGACTTCATATCCACATAAGATATTGCCTGCGACTTCATGAGATAATGGTGAAAAAGTACCTGTTGTTGACCCAACGTTATGAGAGATAACGATTTTGAAATATAATGTTTTTGTACTGTAAATATTATCCAACATAGGTAAACTGTACGTTTTAATTTACTTGTATGACTGAATAGGGTTTCTTTAGTGGTATTGGATATATATTTTTGAGCAATTTTAA